GGGTTTTCATTTTCTATTTTAATAAAATTAGTTTATGTGTCAAATTCACAGCCTACGCACTAAATCTTAACTGAAACAAAATAAATATTTGGTATTACACATCTATCTTCACTTCCAGATCCCAGGCCAGTGTGTCAAATTCACAGCCTACGTACTTAGCTACATTGATTCAGCCCGCACTAATACTGTACTTGAGTGGACACAAGAGCTACTGTGTAATTCTATACCATTGCATAAGAATGCATGCTATGAGCGCAAGTGACCGTTTGTATTAAAAGAAGTGATCTTTAGCAAATAGTAAGGTAGGAGAACGTGCGTGATTTTGGAGAACTGCCAATCTTGTAAGCACAGGAAAGCGTGATAGATAACAGAAAAGGACTGTTCTACGTTAACTTAAGAAAAAGACACCGAGCATCTCTGCGTTTTGCTCTCAACCGCATGAAATAAAAACTTCTTTTAACTTCTGAGATGGAGTCCTGACTGTCTTTGAAGGGGAAACGGGGAAACAAATTCTCCAACGGCTCCACATTCGCCGACAGAACAATCGATCGAAAATGAATACTTCGCAAAAAATCCGGGATAATGTCATGGCTGAAAGGATTAGACGCCAAGAATACCGATCTTTCTGTTCTGCAAGCCGCTACCAACAAGAACTACAGGAGAGCACATCTCATGAATGAATTTATCGAAGAGAATGGCATCGACTGGAAAAAAGGTGTCTGAAATTGTACAGACGGCGCTAGAGCGATGACAAGCCGACAGCGGTGTAGTTGCACGAATTAGAGAGGTTGCTCCAGATATGAAGTGGACACACTGCAGCATCCAGGCAGGGCTTTGGCAGTCAAGAAGATGCCTGAGAATTTAAAATCGGTGTTGGACTCGGCTGTCAAAGTTGTGAATTGTATCAAGGCTCGACCAATGAATTCACGTCTGTTCAGTGTGCTTTGTAATGAAACAGGCGGCAAGCATGTGCAGCTCTTGCTAAATACTGAAGTGAGATGGTTATCAAGGGGCAAAGTGCTCAGAAGGCTCTTTTAACGGTTCTCCCAGGTACAGATGTTTTTACATGACCAGCAACCTCCCTTGGCAAGTCCATTTGATGATCCAGTGTGGCTGGTAAAATTAGTCTACCTGGCTGATATATTCACACGTTTGAATGAGCTGAATA